TGTCCCCCCAACCCCTTGCTTCAGAAATGAAGGCCCAGTGTCCTCAGTCCCCGATAACCATCAGCCTAGGCCTTGACACCTCATTTTCTGCCCACATGTAAGGCCCTGTCCACACAATTAAATAGTGCCCTGTGGACTATGCCTGTTTACCAGGCAAGTCCTGTGTGTCGTCATTCACATGGTGCTTGTGGCTGACAGGGTAGTCCATCCAATACCTGCCAGGAAATGGTCAAACTTCCAGGCAAACAGCCCAGATTTCTCTTGACCACAGGTTGAGGTACTCTATTGGATTGACTGTAAATTTAGCCCAACTAATGGGTGTTAATCCATTACCGCTGGGGAAAATGAACAAAATATGGGGAAAATGCAGTACTCATTTTTTATATTTTTGTGAAATATCTCTGTCCATAGATGGCTCTACTAGTCCTGATTTCACCTTTCCTTGAATTGGCGGGAAAAAACGTATTCTTACTAGTGCTACAAATATAGATGGTGTTATTTTTAACAGCAAATTAGGATAACGTTAGATATTTTTGTAAATCGATGAAAAGGGTGAACGGGCGACACAGGCAGTACTGTAATTGGCTCATTGGATACTTAGTACAAGTGTAGCCTTCTATGGGTAAAAACAATCGAACAAGTCGACTCAAAGTGGGCATGGCATGCCATCCCTGGCGGCAATGGGTTAAGCCTAAATAATGGGCTTTAACCCAATGGCGCCAGGTGTACAAAACAAAAAAAAAACTCTACGCTTAAACAAACAAAGGCGGCGCGCCGACTTTGAGCGCGTGAGTAGGGGACATCAGCCCGAATCGTTCGGCTGCACACCAGCTTTCGAGCTCTTTGTTTACACGCCGATCGGCGTCACCTGGCACCAAGGGGTTAAGCAAGTGCCTTGGGCAGTGCATGACCATGTGGGTGGGGCCTAAGCTAGCAATTAGTCTATTGACAGGGTTACCATTTGTATACAAAGTATCCATGATGATTTTCAGAATCACTAGACTGCCTAGAAGTATGACCACTTATAACATATTAAATTTTTGTTATTTATATATTTCTGTTATTATCCTACCTTAACAGTGCTTAGTTTTTATGACCAAATTGTAATTATCACTAGTAAATGAGTTAAATAGACTATCTAGGAACAGGAATTCAAATGGTTAATGGTTAATGGTTAAAAGCAAGATAAATGTGCACAGGAATTCAAAGCAAACCTTCTCTGGCTCCTACACAGCTTCAACGTTCCAATGTGTGGACAACACTACAACTCTGACCACATACTTAGCCCAACGATGGTCATTACCCACAGGCCTATGACTGACCATGTGAATAGGCCTTAAGAAAGAAAGAACAACAATGTATTGATTTACCATTCATTTACATATTGATTTCTGATCGAATTCCAGAAATGCCATGCGTTTTTGCATATACATGTATACATAATGAATACCACTCATGCTCTTTTTTTATATCCTTTTGTGAGGTAATTAGGAACTGAACAAGCACAAGAGATAGAGCTTAAGTAGCAAATTGAAGCTAAATAGTAGCATGTAGTACCTTCCAACAAAAGATATAAAATGCAAAATTACAGGACCTGTCCATGAGTTGTAAAGTGGAAATTCACATTTCCAGTACAAGAAAATCTGTGTCTACTCTTAAATCCCCTCCCCCATTCCTTTGCTCTTTGTTGTCTTGTGGGTGGAGGGGGGGCTCTTTTCACCATAATACTGTATCATAATGCTCTCTACTCCCTTAACCCATTCGCGACAGGTAAAAATGAACAAAAAATGGGAAAAATGCTGTGCTCATTTTTTATACTTTTTTGTGAAATGTCTCTACACAAGATGGCTCTGCCTTACCTGATTTTACCTTTACTTGAATTGGCGGGAAAATGTATATTTACTAGTTTACTACTTTGCTATGAATATCAATGGTTATTTTTATTATAAACATTATAATTACTATAATGTTAGAAACATTAGTAACAGCAAAATAAGGTAACGTAAAATTTTTTCGTAAATTAAAGCAAAAGGGTAAACAGGCAAGACAGGCAGTACAAGTGTAGCCATCTATGTAAAAACAATTAAACAAGTAAACACACAGTGGGCATGTCACGTATATGTGACACCTGGCGAATGGGTTAATGCATTCCCCTTCTAACAACCTTTACCTCAGCCCCCTCTCTACCCTTTTCACTAACATACTAAAACTGTTTAATCAGTAACTTTACCCCAATCATTAACTCATTCCTAGTCCTTTTCTCTACTCTACTTTACCATAGCGCCATGTGAACTTTGATGTTGTAGAGCTCTTCCTTACCTGTGGGTTTTGCCCTCAAGCCTCATACTATCACTATATTTTGAATACGCTGCTAACGACCTTAGATGTTTACGCAGCAGAAATTTTTCAGTAAATAAATAAATAATCTTGGATGTCGAAATAGAAAAATTAAAATGAAATGATAAGGTGTTACTCAAGACCTGCAGATGAAATCTGATTTGTTATCAGTTGGACTAACAATTTTTGTTTGGCATCAGTTTTACATGGAACTCAAGTTTTCTGTCTACAAAGTCTAATATCTGAAACTATTCATGATTTGTGATGAAATATTATACTCTGCATGTGTAGTGGATTTAAGATATTATTTGTAAATACTATTATTTTAAAAGTCAATTATTACAAGTTCCCTGAAACAGTTCATGTCAAAGAAAAGTTACTCATATAAGATAATTTAATAATGATGGTATCAGCCTCATTATAGAGCAGTTGAATTTATAACTATTAATTCTTTTTCATTTTCTCCCCCCCATCCCTTGCTCGTTGTTATCATGGGGAGGCTTAGGAGCAGGGATTGGTCCAATGTAGATCATCATCCCCGCCTTGGATCTCAGCCCCCAACTAATTTTGCATGGTCTTTTCTTTTCCTCCTTTCCTTTCCCTTCTCTTCTTCCTGCCCACTTATCCAAACTGTTGACTCATTTCTACCCTTTTTGCCACAATACTTTATCATAGTAATATATGACCTTTATTTGTTTTAGCCATTAACCATTTTTCATTTTCATTTTGAAATGCTCTTTGGTAACTGAGACAACAATCATCATTTGTTAATTTAGATGTCACCTTTGAGTCTGAATATATAATAAGGGTATTTTAACCCCTTCCCGACGGGCATGGCACGTACGTACATGCCATGCCCACTGTGAGCCGACTTGTCTCATTGTTTTTACACATAGATGGCTACACTTGTACAAAGTCACCAGTGAGCCAATTATGAGTACTGCCTGTCTCACCTGTTCACCCTTTTCATTGATTTAAGAAAATATTTAACATTATCTTATTTTGAGGTTAAAAATAACACCATCTATATTTATAGCACTAGTAAGAATATGTATTTTCCCACCAATGCAAGGAAAGGTGAAATCAGGACTAGCAGAGCCATCTATGTACAGAGACATTTCACAAAAATATAATAAATGAGTACAGCATTTTCCCCATTCTTTATTCATCTTGCCTGGCGGTAATGGGTTAAGAAATGGTTGAGGTCTCTGCTTTGTTACAGTTAAGCCCAAATAACAGTCCAAAGCAAGGATTTAAATGGGACTCATCTAATTATATATATATATATATATATATATATATATATATATATATATATATATATATATATATATATATATATAGATATATAGATATATAGATATATATACATATATCTAATCTATAATATATATATATGTATATATATATATATATATATATATATATATATATATATATATATGTATATATATATATATATATATATATATATATATATATATATATATATATATATATATATATATATATGTATATATATATATATATATATATATATATATATATATATATATATATATATATATATACATATATATATATATATATTAAAGATTAGATAGATATATACACATATATCTAATCTGTAATATATATATATATATACATCTCATATATATATATATATATATATATATGTATATCATCATCATCATCACTGAGGAGCTAACGCCGGTAGGGGCGCATAGCCGCGTCCATCCTTCACTTCCACCTAGGAGGGTCTCTCATGGTGAGCCGCCAGGCAGGGGCCCGGCCCATCTCTAGTTCCTCATGACAGGTTTGATCGATCTGCCCAAGCCACGACCTTCTCGGTCGTCCCACAGGCCTCCTCCACCCAGGGTTGTCTCGGACAGAGACAACCTGATGGGCAGGGTCATCCATCGGGAATCAAGCCAAGTGGCCATATAGCCTGAGTTGGCGATCACGGATTGTGCAAGTAACAGGTCCTGTGCCGGTCTCACGGTGTAGCTGTTGGTTGGACACATGGTCCCACCAACTGTACCCCATGATCCGGCGCAAGGATCTGTTACAAAAGGCATCGAGACGAGATTCCAAAGTACAAGATAGCATCCAGGTTTCACTACCATATAGTAAAACTGGCAGTATCAGGGCCTTGAAAACTCGTAGCTTGGTCCTTCTGCACAGGTACCGGCATCTCCAAATACTCTTGTCGAGAGATTTCATGACCCCTGCTGCCAGGCCAATCCGTCTACTGACTTCCTGGTCTGACAGCCCAGAGTCATGAACTGCACTACCGAGGTATATAAAACTCCTTGTGACTTCGATGTTTTCACCACAAGCACGTACCGACTGCACTGGGTCTCCTAGTAGGCCCCCAAAATCCTGGATCTTGGTCTTGGTCCAGGAGACCTCTAGCCCCAGGGGCTTCGCTTCATTGCTAAATGCATCAAGAGCCGCCACTAGGGTTCCCAGAGATTCAGAAAGAATAGCAACATCATCAGCAAAGTCAAGGTCTGTAACCTTGATATTGCCCAGAGTTGCTCCACAGTGACTTTGGACAGTAGCTCTATCCAGTATCCAATCCATGCAAGTGTTGAAAAGTGTTGGTGCAAGAACACAGCCTTGCCTCACGCCTGAACTAACAGGAAAGAAGCTCGACAGGCCCCCACCACACTTTACAGCACTCTCAGTGCCTGTATACAGGTTTGCTATTAGCCCAACAATCCATGTTGGAATTCCTCTCAGTCTCAGGATCTCCCAGAGTGATTCGCGATGCACTGTATCAAACGCCTTCTTGAGGTCGATGTAGGCTGCGAGCAGCCCACGTCCGAACTCACGACGGCGCTCTACAATGACTCGAAGCGCCAGGATGCGGTCTATTGTGGACTTACCAGGAGTGAACCCAGATTGCTCTGGTCTTTGGTGCCTCAGGAGGTGGTCTCTGATACGTCTCAGTAAGATGTGGGCGAGTCCCTTGCCTGGTACACTGAGCAGTGTAATGCCTCGGTGATTGCTGCAGTCCCACCGATCCCCTTTCCCCTTCCAGAGAGGGATGACCACACCCCTCAGCAGGTCAGGGGGAATGGTACCAGTCTGCCAGATGGCAGATAGGACTACATGCAAGCCCCTTGCCATAGGTTCTCCAC